GCTTTATCATCAGCCCCAGGCCCCGCCCCCCGTAGCCCCATGTCACGGGGATGGAATCTCACACGTGCCTCTGTGTCCGCTTCCTTCGCTGAGCACAGCGTGTCCTGTGGCAGGTGTGGGCGCCTCGTTCCCTTTTACAGCCGAATAACATCCCATTGTGTGCCCCCCGTTTGTCCACTTGCACTGGGGGGACATGGGGGCATGTGCACCTCTTGGCTGTTGTGAATGGAGCTGAGACACCTCAGCCGGTGCCCAGAGCGCGGCCAGGACCCCTGTGGGTGAGCCTCCCGTGACCCTCGTGGCCGCCCTGCGTGCTCCAATACCCTCCCGTGGCCGTGCGGGTGAAGGCAGCCTGCCTGCCAGCTCAGCGGAGGCTCCAGGCGCCACCTGTCTTTGGGGTTGTCCTGCGGCCACCTCCTGTCTCGTGACAACCCCTGGTGGGTCCGTTGTCCGTGTCCTCCCAGGCGAGCTGAGGGTCAGGCTGTGGCGGTGGGAGGTGGCATGTCGGTGAGCCCCTTCCCGCTGGGCCTCGGCTGCCCCCCAGGAAGCCCCGGGCTCCCTCAGGCGGTGACGGCGTCTCTGTGTCCCTTTCAGAACCAGCTGCTGACGAAGGGCATGGTGATCCTGCGGGACAAGATCCGCTTCTACGAGGGTGAGTGGCAGCCCGGCTGGACCGTGCGCTGGGCCAGGCTGCTGGCTGGGTGGCTGCTGGGCATCGTGGCTGCCACCAGGGAGGGTGGCACAGCAGGTGGGCCCGTGGGAACCGTGGACTGCCAGCCTCGCCTGGGCCTCCAGGGCTCCGGGTGGGCCACGGGGCCCTCCTGGTCGGGAAGGCTCAGAGGGACAGAAATGATGCGTCAGGGGCGGCAGGGCTGAGGCCTGACCCCCGGAGGGGACCTCACTGGGGAGAGCCTCTGCCCCCCAACTTGCAGGGGCCCAGGAGGCCCGAGAGGTGTCAGGGAGAAGGCCCTACCTCACCCCCGGCCCACAGCAGCCTGGGAACGGCAGGCCTGAGGGGAAGTGGCCTGAAGAGGCTGGAGCAGGTCGCTGACGCCTGGGGGGAGCAGCTGGTGGGGGCTCCCTGCCAGGCGTGCTGGGAGTGTTCTCTTTAATGCCACACCCACCCCATGCGGCCTCTGGGTCATTGTTCCCATCGCCAGCTGGGGAGCGGTGCACTGATGACGGGCCACACAAGAAGGTGGGGAGGCGGGATTCGAACCCCAGCCAGCCTGCTCCAGAGCACACACCTTTGCCCTCTGGAGCCCGTGAGTCCCAGCTGGCCTCTGCCCGGCTCAGGCCTCAGCAAGTAGGGAGGGTCCTGCCCAACCACCCTCCTCCAGGCCCCGAGTCTCAGCGGGCCGTGCCCAGTCCACACCCTCGGACTCCCAGTGTCCGCGGCCCTGGGGCCACAGCCGAAGGGTGCGCCCCCTTAGGGAGAGGTCAGGGGATGGGAGAGCCCAGCTCACCCGATGCGCCTTTGCAGGTAGCGCCTTCTGTGCCCAGGCTGGGGCTGGGTTCCGGTTCCATGCACATTTGCTGAGCACCTACTGTGCGCAGGGCACAGAGCACATGCCTGTTCTGTAGACACTTTCCTGCCTCTGCTAACTCACTGGGTCCCCCAGCAACCTGTGCAGGAGGTACCATTGTTGTAGCCCTGAACATAGGGGGAAACTGAGCCACAGTGGGGTTCAGGAACGCCCAGGCCACGCAGCTGCTACACGGCTCCTGAGCCCACACTCCTCTCTCCGCTGCTCCAGATGCCTCCTCGAGTCCTCACTCTGACCTGGAGCGAAGGGGTGTTGTTCCATTTTGCAGAGGAGGAGACTGAGGCCTGGCGGGCTGGCGGCTCTGGGTGAACTCCGAGCTGCGTGCCCCATTCCTTCCACAATCCCCCCTCCCCCCTCTCCGGGGCACAGCGGGTGGAAGCTGCTGAGGCAGGAGCCTGAGAGGGGCCACAAGGACCTCAGCTGTGGGGCCGGGAGGTTCCGGGCCAGCTTCCTGGAGGAGGCAGCACAAAGCCTGCAGGCCGGGCAGTGAGGGTTTGGCACCTGGCGGAGACGCCCGCCCACACCCCTGTCCTGACTCGGCACATTCCCGTGGAGTCCGCGCCTCCCACCAGCGCCAGCCCAGGGGAGTGGGGATCCTCGGAGAAGGGGAGCTTTGTGTGGCTGGGTGGAGTCCTGCCCACAGCGGCCGTGTCCACCAGGCCGCCCAGCGAGGAGCGCCAGCCCCGTCCAAACCCCCTTGCCTCAGGGACAGGCCCGGAGCCCGTTCTCATGGAGCCAGAGACGCAGCCTTTCCTTCTGGCTCTGTCCCCGTCTGAGACTGAGGGGATGGCCGGCATGCTCAGCACGTGCCAGCGCCCAGGTGGCCCTGGGGACCTGAAACGGAGGAGACCCAGGCCTCACAGCCATGTGGGGACACCAGATAGTGAAGTCCAGTGTGCTGCGTGTCAGGGTGAAAGGGTTGGTTTCATTGGCAATCCGGGAGGGCTGCATGGAGATGGTGGCCCTTGAGTAGAGCCTCGGAATATAGTCTGTTCTGGACGACGTCTGGCCCCCTTCAGCCCTGCAGTGGGAACAGCAACCGACCTGTCACCCTGAGAACAGCCTCGAGAGCCTCCCACCCCAGTTTGGGTCCCAGGGCGAGTTCTTCCTGGAGACGGCTGCCTGCGCCCAGCCATGTCCTCGCCCGTGGCTCTGATGGACAGGGTGGCGGCCCCTGGGATGGCCCCGGACCCTCACCACTGCTCCTGTCGCCGCCCCCATGGAGGCCTTGAATGTGGGCTCCCAACAGAGTGATCCCTGCAAATGAGAAGCCTGGAGGCCAGCCAGGAGGTGGAGGCTCCCCGGGATGCGTCCCAGGCTGTCGTTTGGTGGTCTCAGCGCGATGGCTGATAGGAGTGGACTCCAGCCGCAGCCAGGATGACCCCCTCAGCAGCCAGCCCCGTGGTCATCACCGTCCCTGGGGACTCCCCGAGCCGGGCTGAGACCTGAGCCGACATCCAGGCCTCAGAGTCAGCCCTCAGCACGTGGCAAAGGAAGGCTGACCTGCCCCTGGGACAGAACGGCTTGGGCCACAGCCGCTGCCCGGGCCCTGCTGAATGTCAGCAAGACATGGCCCACCCGGTCATCGTGGCCACAGCCACACCCCCTGAGCTCCTGTTCGTAGCCCCGTGCAAGTGGGACAGCTGTTGCACCCATTTTACAGAGAGCCACACTGAGGCTCAGGGTGCGGGGCTCCCCTGGGGCCCCACAGCAAAGCTTCAGCTCCGTGCTGCCTGACTGTCACCCCCAGACCTCATTGCCCAGCAGGGATCCTGGCCAGTGGGCAAGGCCTTGCTGCCCAGCCTCGGCCAGCGTGCGGCTCCGGCCGGGCCTGGGCTCCATGTGTTACGTCTGCTTTCCATGGCCTTTCCGCTCCGGGGCCTGGAGGGTGTCCTGAGCCCAGCAGACGCTGGCCTGGCCCACGCCCCGGGCACCCCACACCGGCCTAGCGACAGCTGCCTTCTTGCTGGTGATGGCGGGGACCTGAAGGGACCTTTGTGTTCAGGCAGAGCCTCTGGGGCCGCAAGCACCCGCCTGT